TAAACTAATCATCTTGCAATCCAAACACACCAAGTGAACAGCAAAGTACTACAGCTAGCCAGCTGCTTGACCAGAACATCTTTTAACACATCTCCAAAAAAGTAGTAAAAAATGACCATGTACTTGTAAAAGTAAGTGCAACAATATGCCCATTATTAACAAAAATTTAAAATCTCACAGCAATTGTTACAGAGATTAAACTGTAATTTTATTTCCTGTTGTCCTGCTGTGTTTGAAATACAGGCTGACAAATTCAATCTAATCACTCTATCTTCTCAAAAATTAATCCTATTCAATTTTTAATGTGGTTATCACATTTATACCTCAATATTGCTGTTACCCTAGATTCTATAAAGAAAAAAAGATTGCCTCTAAGCATAAAATTAAACTTTACTTCATCCACACATCTGGTTTCCATTTACTCCCCTGTTCAGGGTGGCAACTCCCCAAAGACAACATACCACCACACTTTTACTGTGTTTATACAACACTCTTCATATCACTTAAGCATTTGAGTACAACAGCTTATTTACCATTACAGGACCCTTACGTTTTACTGTTGGTATACCCAAACTTAACCAAATTGATTTTAACAAGGCTCACTCCTAAAGAGCTTTTGCATTGCCCTGCAACACTAGCCCCTGCTTCTTCATAGGATTCCTGCCAAAACCTGTACTCTGGCTCCTCTGGTGCTTTTCGAGACATACTCCCTTAAGATTCATCTACATATTTTTAACTGCCCTCTCCTAAAAAACCTTGGAGGAAGGCTGGTACAAAAGAGTGCTGTTTGTCACCTTCACCCATTTTCACATAACTGAAGCGATTTCCATCAGTGAATATAATGCTACCATTGCCCAGGCAGTAGCAATGGTAATTTTTCACTTCCCCACAAAATGTTTCAGTATAAAACATGCTTATGCACTGAGAATTTGTGGTTAATTTGAAAAAGTGCCTGATGTGGGGACTTTTTTTTTGGCCACCAGTACTAGCTCTCAAGTGACTTTTTTCTGTGGATTTTGGGGTGTTTGTCTCCCTACTCCCCCAACATTCTCTGTATAAGAGTCTATATTCAGCAAGCACATCCACAAGCTATCCTTCTTGTCCTGTCTAAGCTCTCAAGCAGTAGTTTTCCAGTAACCTGCAATCCTACGTAGTTGCTACCATTTTGATTTTTCTAGCTTTATAAGCCATCCACCCTGCCAATAGAACAAGGGGGTTTTAAGTTGTATTTTGCAATATTCAAGCAATCAAGGCAATTGCTACATATGCATAATTCATATACATCATGTAGAGGTAAGATTAACTATTTACTAGAAATGACGTCACAATCCCTGCCAAATAACGACCTGTGATGAAACCAAATGAGGTTCAACACATCATAACAGGTCATCTTCTACAAACAAAGCTCAAGGTTGCATACTTCATTAAACAGTCAAGCAAAGTGTTACTTTAACAAGTACAACAAACATTAGATTTTTTCCAATCCACTAATACTGTTCTATAAACAAAGGCAGGCTTCTTTTTTAACTTGTTACCTGCTAGAAAAACTTCACTTCTTTGGTCATCATCAAACTACTTTTTCAATTATAACAAGGTATTTCTTACAGAATTACAAAGAGCAACTATTCTTGCTTTTTTTTTTGTTTAAAAAAAGGTAACTTCACAAGCTGATAAGAAACAAAGCAATGAAGTCTTATCAATACACTCTTAAACAAAACAAAAGGTTAATTCCCCCAACATTTTTCAAGATGTATCCCACAGCTGTATAGAAGAGCTGAAAAGGAATTCAAGCAACAGGAAGAAAAATAAAATTTTAATTGGAAAATAGGTTGAGGCAATTAACTACCAAGCTTCTACTGACTACTTAATGTCAAGAGGCCCTTTCAGACATTGCCAGAGACAGAGCCCTTGAAAATGAGGTTCTGACTTGTGAGTCCAGTAAGTGTATTCTTGATTTACATTTTCAGCTGTATAAGACTAAAATCAATAGAAGATCCTAATGAATTTGTAGACATTTATCCATCTATTATTTCTACATTCCTACTCTTGTAAAACATGTTTATTTCAAGCCAATAGCTGTATTAATACCACTAAAACACACTCACCTTGACAGCTCCATTAAGATGAAGAAACCATTTATACAGATTAAACAAAATTCAAGCGTTAAGTCTCAAGCTTATAAAGGCATTGTTTTAGTCACAGACTGTTAAGTCAAATGTGTGTACTTAACTCTTTTGATAAGAATAACCTTGAGCTGTGGTTTTCAGGGATTTCACTAATAACCTTGACTAGTGTTCCCATGGTATCCCTATGCAGAAAAACTTGATTACAACACCTTGAATTGCATAATAAACCTAAAAATGTACTGCCCAGGAACCTGATCATTTATCTACTCTGTAATCAGTGCTATTAAAGATCCTTTTAATTAAGAAAGAGTTGGCAAAACTGCTGAAGGAAATGTTTTTATTAAAAGAACAAATGAGATGGATAAAGTGTTCAGGATGCTTTGGAAAACTGAGCTCACTTGAATAAATTACATAGTACAAGTAAACCTCAGGTCAAGTATGTAGGACAAGTAAAATAAGTACAATCCTTAGAAACAGTGATTCTGAGAAGAGCCTGAGGAGGAAGAAGGTATAGAAAAAAGCCAGTTGAGTCACACTTCTAACAGAATACTGCAGCAAACTATTTTTTGTTTTAGAAATACATGGTATGATTATAGGAAGGCAATGTTTACATCAAGCAATGATCTTACCAACAAGACACTATAGCCAGGGACAGTATCTACATTTCCAAAATACATCTGGAATTCTAACACTTGAAATATATTTTACCAAAATAGATTTGGATTGAAGTCTGTTAATTTTATAAATTAATTTCTAAGAATCCATACAGGGGAAATACTGCAACTAGTAAAGAACTCTACCCTAAAAGACAAATACAAAAGACCCAACTGTTACAGCCTCACCTGAACTCAGTGCATCAACCCACAGCAGGAACGGACAAAAAAAGCCTCTCTCACTTCAAGCCTACACTAATAGCAAGCTGAGGGAGACGCATCACCAACTATAAAAAATACCTTTGCAACCAAGAGTTGTCCACCTACTGTTGCAACTCTCAGGAAATTCTACAGCTTGTGTTGTACAGGCCATCAGGGTACAGCAACCAGTATCCAGTGTCAAAATACTTAAGCTTATCTGCATTATAACAAACCAATGAGAAATTACAGTACATCCAGCACAGAAAGAGATGTGTTTTAAAAGCAAATCAGAAAATAATACACCTAATGTGACAAATTATTTGAGCTGGGAAGCTATCAGCTTCAAACAGTAGGACATTCAAAAAGCTTGTAACTTACTAAATTAACTGAGTCAAATTTAAGATGCTTCCAATGTGAATCATTCAGTAAGCCACAAATCACGTTTATCCTATCATCAAAATCGTAATAAATTAAATCCTTCTGTCCCCACAGTCCTGATCTTTGCTTAAGTGCCACTAAGAGATCTCTTAGTGAAGCTGGAATAAAAGAATCACCAGTAGTGAAATCAGCCCTGAAGCAAGCACGCACATGTACTCCAAATGTATTAAAAAACAACCTACACAACTCTACATAACAAAAAATGTAATGCATACACATTCAGCCAGCTGTATGCCAAATACCAAAACAGAAGTGTTAAAGCTCATCCTCAAGAAGTACTAGAAGATTAAGCTAAATACTAGAAGTTCTGTTAATTTTCTTCCACAGATGCATGTTTACAAAAATGTACAAAACCTAAGTAGTTTGCCATGATGGTGGCATACCTTTAAGGATGCTTGATCCATCAATAAGACTAAGTCTACATAAACTGATGTTCACCCATCAAAACATAGTAACTAATGCCACCTAAACTTTTCCATAACGCCTCGCATTTAGTAGAGGAAAACGCACAATTTGAAGTAATTGAAAACAAAATTGCTTCGTGATAGACTTAAGAACATAATAGAAGGCGGGGGGAGGGCAGCAGAAAATCATTGAGTTTTTTGTTTTGGAGCTGGGAAGGAAACCTATTTACTGAGAATTCTGCAGTATGAAACTTCCATAAGAAAAAGACTCCTGCCAATTCAAACTTTTCTTGAGAGCAAAGTCAAGAATCACATAAAAAGCAACATTGAAAGCAATTCCATGGAACAACCACCACACAAACAACACAGGTTAATGCATAAGACTCTTCAAACTGATTCCGTTCAGCTGAATGTTACTTCATGGCTTGAGTTAAGGTTGCGTTTTTAGTTTAACTACACACCTCCTAAAGTACAGACTGAATCTAAACAAAATGCTGCCGATAATCTCGCAGTTAATCACTGCCACAAGTTTTAAGAAAGCCACAGACCTGAAATGATCAAGAACAGTTAATTACATTCACTCCTTCCCTCAAAAGTAGATTCAAAATTTCGAAAGTTAAAATCCAAGACTGAGAAAGATGGTATAGGATGGTATATACAAGATATAATGCAAGGTTTTTTTACCATTGTTTTTTCCAATTTCAGTTCTTCCTTAAAGTCTAACAAGTAAAACACAAACCCAGAACTTTTGTAGTCACCAATATATTAGGCAGAGATTGAAGACATGATAAGTGATATACAAAATAAAATAAAAAACCCAGGTTTCAAACCTATTTATGGTAAACAACAGTCATTTTAAAGTGTGGAGTTTCAGTATATTAAAAATACTTCCTTTCCTTAACTCCTTCCCTAAAATCTATGGAATACTCTTAAGTAGGGAAGTGTGTGCCCCTGAAATTATATGCCTATTTAAATCAACCTAAGCCACCACCCAACATCACCTCAGTTTTACTCTGCTCCAGACTTCACAATACTTGAGGATAAACTTTTGAAGTGCTTTTGGTTAGCTTGTTCAAGGAGAACTTAAGTTAAGAGTGTATCAAACAATGCAGCCCATTTGTAACATACTCCACCCCACTACAGATGAATATATAATGTCGATATATTTGTTCCATTACCTGTCTCTGAAATATACACAACAGGATCCTGCTTTAGAACTTTACCAAGTTTTGAAGTAGCTGCTTTTTTCTCAGATGGCTTCTTGGGTTTTTTCACTGACTGCACCTCCTCTTCTGAATCTGTATATTAAGAGTGTATCAAACAATGCAGCCCATTTGTAACATACTCCACCCCACTACAGATGAATATATAATGTCGATATATTTGTTCCATTACCTGTCTCTGAAATATACACAACAGGATCCTGCTTTAGAACTTTACCAAGTTTTGAAGTAGCTGCTTTTTTCTCAGATGGCTTCTTGGGTTTTTTCACTGACTGCACCTCCTCTTCTGAATCTGTATTTTGAACACAATATAAATGTAAAATTCCTCCACATATATGCAAAACTTCAAGTAAATACATCGCATAACATCAGTTAACATGTGTTCACATGTATTCAACTGAATGAGAAAGGAGTATCATATGGAAGGTCAGAGCACACAGCTACATTTTTCTCCATCAACTAAAAGCCTAGGCATCATTTATTTCAGCATATAAATGACTAAATGAAAATTTGGTCAACACTCAGTCTAGGCAATGGGTTTTGTTTACATAACAAGAAATATTTTGTTGCTTATTCCAAGAAATGCTATGCCTGCATAAAAACCTTCCCAAAAAGGAATGCAACTTGTCAGAGTACCACAGAAGACTGGAGGAAAAAAAAACACAACAACACCCAAACCTAAACAAAAATCCCCAAAACAACAAACTTTTAACATAGCTTAATCGGCCAGATTAAATTTATATAACATTAAATTATGCTGGTGTATTCCACAACACCTATTCCAAAAGCTAACAATAAGCTAAAATAGATCACTGAGGTTGTACTCCGATTTTTCAGAACACTGGTAGCCTGCCACTCACCTCACCAGCCATTCTCCATATCCCAAAAGTGATCAAGATGACAAAATTACACTTCTGTGGATTATGCATTCCTACATCCAAATGAGTAAGCAGAACAAACTGAAGCTGTGACAACTAAAAAATTTGAGAGCATACCTTTTTCCATTATCAATATTAATATATATTGTACTCATTAAAAAAAACCAAACTCAATTAACTTGAGTCCTCTTAGTTCATGTGTCCCTAGCCTCCTTCAAAAAAAAAACCCACAAAAAAACCACATGCACACACCCTTATCCATCTTCAATAACTTAGAGCAGTATTTCTCTTTTCCTCTTCTAACAATAATGGGCTAGAATTCGCAATATCTCCAGATATCAGCACTTAATTTGAGTAATATATTGCTTCTGTATTCCAACTGTAAGTACAGAAACATTTCTACTGCTATTCCTTACTGATAATCAGAAATTGTGTTCCATACTGTAAATTTAAAACTATGGGATGAACACTTACCAGATATTTTTAATAAAGACGCATGGAAACTCAAATTTGCCTTTTAAAACCATCTCCTACATCATGTTCATGCAATACACAGAAATGAGAAACTACAGCATAGGATCAGCCTCCTGTATCCAGCACAGGATATTATTTATCTCTAACAGAATAAGAAACCTAAAAATCCCTGCAAGTTTTTTTTCTTAAAATGTAAAGAATTTCTGGAGTTTTGATAGAATTTACTATCTGAGCTTAGTTTTTTTGTGGGTTTCTTTGTGGGTTTAGTTTTCAGTTTAACAGATGCTTTGTTACTTAGTTTGCACTGTAGATTACACACGTGGCATACACTGCACTTGTTATCATCAAATATATTTAGCTAACAAGCAATAATTACTGTGAAAATTTTATTTTTCATTGCATTTACTAAAAAAATAAAACAACTATAGCTTTATTTCAGGTATACCATTTCCCTAATTGACCTTGAAAGCTAACAGAAAAGATACAAAGGAGCATTCAGAAACAACTGTAAACACTACCTGAATCGTAGATTATTCTTCTTTTCTTGTTTGTTCGCTTTGGTTTAGGATCATCTTCACTGGGTGAACTATTCACCTAAGAGTAACAGTCCATTAGTTCAACCATTCAACAGGCTTTTCCAGCTTTCATTCAGTTATAATTCAAATTTATGAGTTTCAAACAAGTTCTAACAGAAATTATTTCCCCATACCACATTTACAGTCTTGTGCTGACCCATGGGTGGGAGGGGAAAAGATGCAGGGAAGAGGAAATAAGCAAGAAACTGCAGCAGTAAAGCTTAACGTGCTCCAAGAAAACAATAGATTATTGAGGATATATATGCAACTTTATTGCCAGTTAAAGTAAATCAACAGATTTTCAAGCACTTTCAGCTTTTAGTCCAAAAAAGAAATTGCACAGTCCCACTGGAAATAGAGGTTGTACAGACTAAAAAGTTACTTGAATGGAACTCATCTTTTCCTTTTGGTTCCATTATGGATATGGATTCTTTGTAACGACCAGAATTTGACACAACTTCAGAGTAAATACAGCCAATCGAAAAAGTAAAAAAGCCTACAGAGCAGCTGAAGCCAGATTGATTTCCTATTCAGTGTGCTGGTTGCTTGCAGCTTCTCCTCTCATCCTTTGAGCATTACAACTATTTTAAGAGATTGCTTCACTGGTGACAGCTGATAAACATGCTCTAGCTAGCAGCAGCTAGTAATAAACTGTCTCAAGGACGAGTTTTAGATATTCAGAAAAATCGCAAGTTGCACAGGTAGGAAGTTTCCTTGGCCTACCAAACCATCAATTATGCTTGTTTTGTAGTCGTGCACAGCTGTAAATGCTTCTAAAAATATAATTCTAAACAAACATAACTACACATTTTAATAACTTATGTTCAGTTCTAATCTGAAACCTGTTAAATCCTTTATATAAGTGGATAATTGTAAAGCAGAAATAATAAATCACAAGACAACTGCTATGACTTTCAGTTCCACTCAATGGTCCTTTATTTTCACATTGAAACAATAAAATCATAAAGCCAAAATATGTATTTTTAGGCAACATCTTACCCCTTGATTGGGATGCTCTGGATTAAACATTCTACCCGACTAGAAATCCTTTCATCCTCCAAGTGATTTTAAAGCCCTCTTTAGTCACTCATTTCTTTTATATACAATTCAGATGAAAATACTCTGAGACTAGAATGCAAAGTAATTTCACCTTGCCATTTTGAAGAATTTGGTCTTTGCAACAGGGCTACATAAGTGATCCCATCCAAGAAAGGCCATGTTAATGTTTCCCCCACAGGTGTTACAACACCTGGTTAAAAAAAGCTGGTCAGAGGGCACCTACATCACAGAATTTACCCTACATGAAAGCATGACATTTATAATATGCCAATAGCTACAGTGCATAAGCCTCAAAATTAATTAAATTAAACATCAAATAAGTACACCTATTTAGAGAACTATGGGCTACAGCTAAAGTAACTTGAAATACATCAGATTGTTCCTATGTTAGCACCTAAACATAACTTCTACATACCTCTCCTTTGCCCTGCCACCCAAGTATTTTTAAAATTACCAGTTTTCTTCACCTCCTACCAAGTTTTGCTGCTATATTAAGTGGTAGTTTCCTCCCATGCCTATAAAAACTGACATATATAGCCTAGTTTTTCAGTATATGAGAAGAATAATTACTTTAAAAAATGCTAAACAAACATTCTTGTATCAGAGAAACCAAGCACTTCACAATAAGAAACACAAAACTAACCTTAGTCTCCTTTTCCCTCTTCTTCCCACTGGATGGTCCTTCACCATTTTTAATTTTTTCACTCCTTCTCACAGTCTCACGTTCTTGCCGCTTTCCAGGTTGCACAACACCAAAAAAATTCCGGATATCCTAGTAAAAGGGAAAACAGATTTATAATTTTTTTAATCCAGATAGCTCTTAGAAGATTCACATTACAAAACAGTAACGCACTCAAGTTACTTTCTCGGCAGCTCCATTATAGTATTTGTTGATCTTGAAGTTTTGATTACGATTAAGAAAACAAAACCCATCTGCAAAATACAGCTGCTCAGGCACCGTAACACCTTTTCCCTTCTCCTTGAATCACGAAAAAAAGTTTATTTCTCCTAGTTGGACATCTTCACCAATACACACATCAGACTTCCACTAGCAATGAAATACAGTAACACAGCAGATATATAATTAAAATTATTATTTTTTCCAAATAGTCACCACAAACCTAGTCCGAAGTATTTCTATAGTTAAAATTATCAAACACGTACCTGCTTGGTATCACTACCTCCAGGGGTAGCAGCCATTTTAGAGACAAAAAAAAAAAAGAAACTCCTATGGCCTAAATATACAGGAGGTAAAGGGTGTGGGTCAGGACTACATTCAATCCAGCTGGTAGCTATTCCCCGTCGTAGACTACATCTGGGTAGTTTTTTATTACTACAGGGAACTACAACTAAATGTAATCTCCAAAAAGGTCCAGTTGACAAGGAAGGGTGTTTCAAGCTCCTTTTCTCTTACCAGTCTGTTCCTTGGCAGTTTGGATTTGAATTACCAGAGGGTTTAAAATAATGGAATATGCAATTTGAAAGCATACACAAAATATGGGACATATATAGATTTATTTAGTAAAGTCAGCTTAAAACATTGCTGTAGAATCAGAAATGTTGTTTCCTGAAAAATGCAGACACTTTTATGTTTTACCTGCATATAATCATACGGATTCAGCAAACAGAGAACAGTAGACCAGGAAGCATTCATACACAATGAGACAGTTCGCTCATTTCCATCTATAGAATTCATCACTTGAGGCATAAATTTTCAACACTGCTATTTTACATGGACTCCTACAATATAAATCCAGTATTATATAACTCTGAAATTTTGACTGCAGTTACCTACAGCTACAGGTCTGAAGAAAGCATCTGCTTAAAAAGTCTCAAAGTAGATTTGTGGACTCAACCACTCATTTATTATTGACTTCTTTGTAGGCTTAAGGAAACATAGGCAACAGAAAAATTGACTGCAAGTCTCGTTAGATCTATTATGAAGTAAAATAATTCAAATACTACAATACTGCAAAATAAAGTGACTAAAAAATTGTTTTCATTTTTTGTAATTGTTACTTTCAGGCTTAAAATATTTGGAAAATAAATAATTTTTTATCAATATTAACACTCTCTCCATTCTAGTATTCTAACTAAAAACTCTAAACTAGTGAGTGAACTCCTCTGCAATAACTGTTAGGTTTTTGTATAGATTCATAAAAGGAAATACCATTGTATCCCGGTTTATGAAATGCAGACTTAATAATGAATGTATATGAGATTGACCTGTGTGCCCCAGTTTCTTCCACTATTTTAACATCAGTTCCTGAACTGCTAAGGCCCAAACTATAACAAGTAAATTATTTTCTGCCTCATCTGTTCTCATGAGATACCAAATTAGCTCTTCATAAATACCTTCAATTCACAAATTTATACCTAAAAGTCCTGCTGTGTTTAACATGATATAAAATGAACCTGAACTGCCACGTCAAACTCGTAAAAATAGCATCTAATCCGGGTCAATTTTGCAAGCTCTTTTTCCTCAAATCACTTCATAAACACCTAAAATAAATGGGTGACACTCAACTACTATCTTTTATATCACTATAAAGTGCAAGCTGCATTTCATCAGATAACAATTAAATCGAAAATATTTTTTTTTATTCAAAGCTGCATCTTCTACCCATTTATTAAGAAAGCATTACCCATACAAATACTATTTTTACTTTGAAAATGCAATTCGGTCCTCAAGAAATGGCAGCTCTTTCCTTTTATTGTTACATGCTTCTGTTAAGGAGTTTTTCAGAAAATACTGTGAGTATTAGCACACAAGCCACTTAGAGATTTCTGAAGAAGTTTGTAACAGGATAGGAAATCTAATTTCCCATAGTGACCATCTACTTCTGAGTGATTAAACTACACATCCCTAAGCTACAAAGCAAAATTGTCATCCACGTACAATCTTCATCAATCTTCAGAATTATAAATCCTTCAATCTTTACCTATCCTTCTCTTCAGAAAAGGTAACCCTGTTAGCCACTGCTAGACTATAATAGATGGTGAATTCAGAACTGCTTGGGAGAAAAGTATGACACAGTGTAAGAATAAAGTTGTGTTTCCATGAAGCTTTTATCCAAGAATCCAAGAATGAGACAGATTTTTTGTGCCATTTATTAAGAGATGCCAGATAAAGTCTTAACTCATTGCATAAGTAATTGCAGGATGAAGCCATCTAAGCATCTATCGGACTGATTCCCATCAGACAAGTCTTAAGACTATTTCTAAAGTATCATATAAGCTTAACCCCCAGATGGGATCACTTGCCTCCATTCTGGGTTTATCTAACGTACTCTGACTGACCATCTTATCGGTATATAATGCCATGCATACATATGAGTTCAGGAAAAGCCGCCTATGTTTCACTTCTATCTGTGCTCATTCCACTTAGGAAAGGCACGTACCAATCTAGCTGCCTAGTTTCCCTCTGGGACGTTCACCAAAAAAACACAGGAGTCATCACCCTTTTGTATCCTAGAGCTACATAGATCAGCAGGGCTGCCCCAGGTGGTCCCTTCGCCCAGAAGGCCAAAATTAAAGAGGCATGGCCTATATTGGTGCACCTCCCCATGGGTGCTTCAGCAGCAGCAGCAACACATGTTAACTTTGAGCAGTTCTACTCAAGTAGGAGATGGAGCTAAGCAGGAATTTCTGATCACTCTCACTGAATTAGGGGAGTAACTGATACATAGCATCTGAACCATCTAAAAAGCTGTGTTCAGGTGCAGTGATTGCTGCTGAGCAAGCTCAGTAATTGTATGATCTCAATAACAGCTGTGCCATCTAGTTCCTGCCAGTTTTGACTACTATTTCAAACCCTCCATCTTTTGCAATAACAGGAGACCAGAGCAATTACTCACATCAGATTGCGAGTTTTCTCTTGAAAGATTTGTATCTGTCTATTTTACTGAGGAGAATAACATTAAGAGAAACTGAAACTATTTGTTAGGTAGTATGAAGACTAGTTACTCAATATGTTTATCAGGGTGACTTTTAAGACTTCAGGAAATACCCAGCTTTATAAAAGTCATAAACACTCCATACTGTTTATTTCCTGTATTTTAAAAGCATCCTAAAACAAAGACAAGTTACTCCAACACTTTGATGATAGAACCATCTCAACCTAACCATAATAGGCACTAGAAGACTAGTGTCCACTAAAGCCAAGTATTTTCAAAAGTAACATCATACAATTCAGTCTGCACCTCAAAATATAGGATAGAAAACTGAATTTCACCAGTCTAGCTCAATTACTGCAACAGAACAAAATGCACCTTATTTCAGGTATTCTGAAGCGTGTCCATGAGGGCCCTGCATCAAAGGAAATATATTTATTTACAGTCTACCAATTTCAGTGCAAGTTTTGTGCATACATCAGCTCTTAATATCTGGTGTGTCCAGGAATGCACTAACAGAAATCAAACTTGTGGTACCACTTCCATGAAGCCAGTAATACTTGCTTGGATAGATATACTTAATTAATGTTTACTAATAGTGGTAACTGCAACACAGTACCATACAGTATTTTTTGAGCATTATCACAGTTCTTAATACACACCAACTGATGCTACAGCTCCAGCCATAACAATGTCTCTCTCAGCTAGAGGCAACTCAAGTACTCCTACTCCCAGTTACTCATTCTCCTAGCTGTACCAGTATAGTTCTCTGCTTGGGAACTGGGTCAGGTCACTAATCTGGGAAAAAAAACAAATCCCTTCCCAAGACAAGTAAGTTCATTGTGTAACTTTAAACACATTAGTCCAGCACAGCTGAGAAGATGCTGTAGAACCAACCCCACAAAGGCTACTTACCATTTAGCACTATCTGAAAAAAGCTTGTTTGCAAGGATATATTAATTTCCAGTATGCCCTTGCTGTCACTGCACACGCAAAACAGGCTACACAGTTAATAACAATATTTCTGCCTGTCTGCAGCAGTGATGGTTGTTCAGGCTCTTCAGCACTGAAAAGGGAATGAGCTGAGGCTCAAATGATGATGGTCTTCCTCCCCCCTGCGAAAGTGCAAGACATTGTGAGATGTATGACTTTGAGAAGACTACACAGAGGGAGAAAGCCTCTGCCCTAGGAAGGTGGCAAAGGAGGAAGAGAGTCTTTCAGGAAGAGCAGTTTTCTAAAGAGGTGACAGCAGGGGAACAGGTGAAGCAGATTTGTCCTCTCACATAAAGTCATCAGCCACCCTTAACAGACTATGAAAATATCCCAGTTATCATTTCAGGATTGTAAATGCTGGCAGACCCTTGTCACTACTGTGAAAGAGTCGAATTGTACGACCTATTATTGCTAAGCATCAGGTATAAGATATAAAGGTTAAACCATATGGGGAGTCCAAAATGGAAGTCAAACCTAACTGTCTTTGAATGGCATTTGTAGTTAATAAAACATCTGCACAGAAACTCTATCTGAGAAGAAGCAAACTTATCTGAGCCAGATGGAGAGCATATCATCATATACTGGCTGCCTAAGTGAGGAGCACTTTGGAAAGTACACGCACAAACACGTAAATATTTACATTCACAAACTCTGTGCATCCTACTGAGGGTTGCACCCTTTACAAACAAGAGTCTACTTCAGGACTTTCCAAGTCCTTTTTTTCCCCACTTGGATTGTTTTTCTGCAAACGCTTCAGGGCGCCCAACTCAGCAGCAGAAACGCTCCCGTGCCTGCTCTCACTGAAACTACAGGCAGGGTCCAGGCTCGGGCAGCCGCGTTCGGAGGGGCCCGCCC